AGACCGGCCCACCTCAGTCGATGACTGAATATATTAGTCATAAATAACGTTATTTCCAATTCAGTTTCTAATGACACTAGCACGTCTTTTTCAAGGACACAGCTGCTTTAGAACTTCAAATGTTTTTTTTTTTTTTTTTTCTGAAATAAGAACATTAATGCTTTATATCCAGTCCTTTGTAACGGTCGTCACACACACAATATATATATATATATATATATATATATATATATATATATATATATATATATATATATATATATATATATATATATATATATGTACCCCTACATAAGTAACCCAAACAGTATTATATGTCTTAACACTAAATAAACTTGCCTTGCCTTGCCTAAAAATGAAAAAATATATTTTATACTGGGTAGGTTCGAACTCGGAGCGGTGGTGTGATAACGCAACATGCTAACCACTAGACCACAATGGCGCTATTAACTGAAGAAGTTTGGGATAAAGAATAAGTATTGCACTGTTATCTGCTGCTATTGATGTCAACTCGTTTTTTTTTAACCCCACTCTTTTTCTCCCCTTTTTAGATTTCTGATCAAGTTATGTCAGATTTATTAATGTAGTGAATCATCGGATTTTCATTGAGCAGGTGTAATATTCATTAATATTAATTAATATTTATTAAAGGTGCGCTGTTTTGGGTGGAATGATCGCAGGTTTATGATGATTATATCATCATTAACCTGCAGGCTGCATTTTGCTCACGGGGCTGCGAGAAAATAAATAAAAAGAGCGGAACTGCAGCAAAATAATGAATAAAAAGAGTGAGGTTATGGTCAAATGAACAAAGAAATGAAAAAAGTGCAACTGCTGAGAGTGCAAGCAGCTAGGGACACCTGCCTTCGCGGCCAAAGAACGGACCGGCCCACCAGGAATTCTCCCGGTCCTCCCGATTATCCAATCCGGGCCTGACTAGAGGTGTTTTGAACTTAATGAATGTATAATAATTGTGATAACCGAGCAACCGTGATTATTCCTCAGACTATGATCGTACAACCAAAATCTAGAATTATTGCATCCCTAGTGGCTATGCGTATGAATTCGTATGATCTAATTCGCACAATTTAGTACGATTTGCTCATCTCCCAGTGATGGTTCGGTTTAGGGGTGGTGTTTGGTGTCCATTTTCGACTGACCTCGAATTAGTTACTAAACTGACAAAACGTAAAATACTTACAATTTCTCATGAAATCTGTCTGGTACTTTAACAGTTTGTTGAAACATCTGTTTATACTTTTACAAACTAACCTGAGAGTTATGGGATCAGAAACATATCAATCTGTAAATGTGTTTTATGTTTTAATCGAGGGAAATAAACATCTGTTAGGTAGGTAACTAAAAAAGTATGTGAGTTTACAGCTTACAACATTATTGAGTTCCACAAAGTCGACTTGTGTTGGAACAATGAAGTTAAAAAAGTTAAAAAATGAAGTTAACTTACAAATTTAAGTTGATTGAACATAAAACAATAAGATCCCACTTTATATTAAGTGACCTTAACTAATATGCACTTACATAGGAATTAATAGTTTGTTACCATGTACTTATTGTGTAAATACATGTATTTACTGTGTACTTATGCTTAATTAAATACATGTATGTAATCACATCTGTAATTAACCTTTGTAATTACATTTGTAAATACACTGTTGACCATCCCTTACACCTTAACCCACCCTTAAACCTACCCATACCAGCAAACCTGTCCATAACCCAACCTCTATCCCAACTCAAGAGCACCACAAGTGTTCTCAAATACATTATAAACACAGTAAGTACATTGTATTTATTTTTTTATGTAAGTACATAGTAATTAAGGACACTTAATATAAAGTGGGACCAACAATAAAGTTGTCCCCCCAAAAACCCAAGAATTGTGTTGTTTCAGCGCAAGTAGTTTAGACAAACAGCAGATATATTTTTGTATGTATATGATATAATAATGCTAATCAAAAGGATAGGAATAGTTTCTTTATATTCACTCAAAAAAAAATAATCATATTTTGCTGCTTGTTCAAATGACTTAAATGAGTTAAAACAACACGATTGTATTTGTAAACATGATTAAGTTAACTTTGTTGTGACAATGACAGAGTGGTGTGGATCCCAGCCTTTTTCGCAGTGCTGTGAATTGGTTTGGATTGGTCATGTGTGAGCGCACCGCTTCCTCTCTCAAGCGCTCGCACAGGAACTTATCAAATTCTAGTGAATTATTAACCTCAGGACAGCTAGGAAGCTTTGAAAATCACTTTGGATATGTCAGAAACCGGCTATGGCAGGTAAGTCTTCTCGAAATGATCATTTCTGCTGGTTGAAATCAAGAAAAGCCATTAAATTGTGCAGACTGAAGCCAGAAAGAGAAATCGCTAGACGTGTTTCGAGATAACACGCTGAGTGATCCTGTGTGCTGTGATAGGTTATTTGAGAATCCACAGAACAGCATCTCCAGAACATGAGCTAGTGTGTGCGATTGGAGTTAGCAAATGCTTATTTCATGAAATAAAAGGGTGATGATGAAGGTAGAACATTTATCTAATCTATTTATTTAATATATTTATAGGACATGTCAATCAAGGAACCGATGTGGTCCAAAGCAGGTAAGGAAGGAATGAAAAATCATGACAATTTAATGTGATTTAAATGAACTTGAGTCATAATACTGCTGATTTAATGATATTTTGGCCTGGTCTTCAAAATGTTGTCAATAGGAAATTTTTCAAATGTTTAATATGAAATAAAAGGTGGCTCAGTGGTTAGCACTGTCACCTCACAGCAAGAATGTCGCTGGTTCGAGTCCCAGCAGGGCCAGTTGGCGTTTCTGTGTGGAGTTTGCATGTTCTTCATGTGTTGGTATAGGTGAATTGTATGAACTAAATTAGCCGGACTGTATATGTAAGTGTGTATGGGTGGTTCCCAGTACTGGATTGTGGCTGGAAGGGCATCCGCTGCGTAAAACATATGCTGAAATAGTTGGCGGTTCGTTGCGCTGTGGTAACCCCTGATAAATAAGGGACTAGGCTAAAGGAAAATAAATGAATAAACCGAAAACAATTGTCCACTCCTTTTAAAAACATTTCAACATTTTTACATTTACAAATCCTTATTTTGTTGCCAATGTATTTCGATTTTTTTTCGGTTAAAGTGCATGAACTTTTAAAATCCTGAGACCATATTTATTCAGTATGTTGATGTGATGAATTTTTAATATTGAGTAGAGAGCGGAGCTTTATTTAGTGCATCATTTCTTCATGGCAAACTAATAGTAAGAAGGTGCATTAAAGAAGCCATATACAGGGGCGCAACTGCACATTTACTGATGGGTATGCAGCTTCAACTTTTACGCGCCCCCCTTTCAATCCAACTATATTTTATAAACAGGCAAGTGATAAAATGTGGAAAATATTTCCATCAATAAATTAAAGATATTTTTTCATAAAGATATCAATATGCTTCAAAAAATACAGATTCGCATTTCTGAACACAACTGAAATAGTATGAAGTAGTACATTAAGCATGTTAGGTTGCAAAGAAATGCATCTCATACCACCCCAAATTTCTTCTCAATTTAATTTTCCCTCACTAAATGATTATATCACCTTGACTAGCCTTGCTTTTGGACTTTTTGTACTACATTTGTCAAAACAAAATGATAGACATGGGAGTTCTAAAGGGCAAAAGAACATTGCAATTACTTCTCACATGCATACTGCATAGTTTTTTAATTTAATAAAATACAATATTATACGCGTATAAAATGCTAAATAAACATTTTTAACAAATATATATATATATATATATATATATATATATATATATATATATATATATATATATATATATATATATATATATATATATATTATTTAAAACTTTTAATATGGATAATTTCAAAAATAGTTTTGGCACAATGGCGCCCCCCATGTGTGGCCGCATATACTGCATACCCCCTTTTTGCGCCACTGGCCATATACTGCATTGGTTTAATAAGTTAAACTGTCCTCTGATATCCACATAGTAGGTTTATGGCTTCAGGAAGTTAAAAAAATCTCCAGAAATGGTTTGATATGCTCATTTATTACTCCATAAAAATACCCATAGAATCAGAAGGTCCACTGTATGTGGTTCATGACGTGAATATTAATGAGCTCTGCTCTGCCCTGCCACTCTTACAGGCACAAACAAACACACATAGAACATGATGTACACTGAACTCAGACGAATATAAACCTGACCAGATTAATGTTAACCTATTTTACTCACTAGATCTGTTGTGGATAAAGGCTGAATTACAATTAAACTTGACAAAAGATAGTGATAGAGATAGTATCGAGTTGTATTTGGAAGCTTCAGCAACAGTAAGGACTGCCCAGTGGCCCAGGGCCAGCGTGAGAGACGCTTGGGACAGTAAACAGGATCATTACTGGCCTGATTAGGACAGTGCTGCCTTGTCACTAACATTTAATTTTTGTCAATTGCATGCATTTAAGTTTGTTTTTAAGTCTTTAAACACTACCTTCTCTGTGATGTCGTAAACACCGTATTGCTTTCCGGTTCCTCTTATCTGATTTGATGTTTTGAGCATGCTATTTTTTCCCATAAACTGGTAACAAACCAGTACAGCGAAGAAACAGCAACATGGAAGCAACATTAAATTATATTGCTAAAAGAAATGTCTGTTTCTAACGTCTTGGAAGCAGACATTTACATGGGAACAACACAACAAAAAAATGAAGTGATGTTTTGCACAGTTAGCCGTCAGTTTGACAAGTCAGCCACCTTTTGTTAAATAATTTCGAACCGCAATAAAATACCTCATTTTCCTCTGATCTTTTTGATTGCATAACACTTTTATTAACAATTTTTTAAGTATTGAAATTCTAGATTCACAGACTTTATTTTTGACACATTATTTAAAATATGCAGCTAAAAAAATAGCTATTAACCTCCCTTTTTTTTTTTTTGGTGGGGCAAGTGAAAATTTTGGCAAGACAAGTAAAGATCTGAACCACTGGCCAGATTGGACCAGTAGAAAAATTCCTTAGCGATAAACCCTGTTCAGACAATGAAAAGGCCAGGAATTATCAACCGCTGCATAAACAATTGCAGTTGAGCTGAGTGATTTGACTCGTTTCAGCAATCTATAATTGTTTGCTGAAACATACGCATCAAATTTTACAATAAACACAATAAATTAACAAAAGATGTAACTAAACATACCTTACGCCTCTTCCGAGTGGAGATGAATACATGTGTAATCTGTAAATCTTGCATTTTGTGTCCTGAGGCGAGTTTGAAACATGCCTCGTGCTGTCGTTGCCCTGCAACGCATAGAAAACAATTTGGCGCCTGCATTTTCAAAATAAAAGTCCCACATAGTAAGTGAAATATAAGCTTAAAATAACTGAAAATTATCTCTGTTGTCTTACTAGAACACGTTTGGCTTATCAAACGCAGCCTGAGGCATGCATATTAATGATTTCAGAGACTTTTTTTTTATGGTGTCAGAGCTACATATGAGTCATGTTCTCTTGATCATGTCAGCTGCTCGTCAGGTCCGGATGAATGACCTAAAGTAGGCACACATAAGATTTTGATTAAAGATCATTAAAACAAACTTTTTTTTTTCAGTGGATTGACTTATTTATCTCAAGAATAACAATGTGAGCTAGCAAAATAAACTATTTTTATTTCACACAATCTTTAATGTTTTTTTTCCCCACATGGACAGGCTAATTGATGTGAGGCTTCGCATATACTGTAATTTGATATACTTGTTAAGGACTCTATTGATAATATTAATGAATGTCTTTAATGGTGAATGATGAGTGTATGTCTAATTAGAGTGTGTAGTGTTGAATCAGGGCTAACTGTGTGTGTGTGTTTGTGTTTTTACCCTGTGCCCAGAGGGCTGGAAAACTCTGAGGAAACAGAGAGGACAGAGTTTTATCATCTCCATGGCAGGATCTGGTGAGAGCGTCTGGGTTTCTTCGCTGTGCTGATGTTGTTTAATCTGCATCACACACACACAGCTGAAGAACATTCATCTTTGCTCCACAGACGGAGCAACAGAAACGTGCATGTCAGCGGTTGCTTCCAACTTCTGCTATGCGCTTACGTTTTCTCTTCTCTGGTTTGCAGTGGGATCTAGAAGTTTGGACAATCGAGAGATATTTCTCGGTCGCCTATACTGATTGTTCGTGTGAAGTCCAGTCTAACAACTTATAAGAATTATCGACGCTACTCACAGCAATTCGTAACTTTTAATTTAGTGGCTAATTCTTATGAATTTGAACAATCTCATTGGTACAATTTAGTATTATTTGCTCATCTTGCCATGACGGTTGGGTTTAGGGGTGGGGGTTTGGTGCCATGCCTCATTTTAAAAATTGTACATTTCTGTTTGACTGAACTCTGTAAATATTAGTATGAATTAGCCACTAAACTGACAAAACCTAAAATAGTTATGTTTCCTTGTGAAATCAGGCTGTAAAACCGAATATTCAAATGGTAGAATCTTAATCAGCGCATTGTCTAAATTATATTAAAATCGGATTATTGATGTCCATGTAAGCGTACTCATTGTCCTAGCATATGTTACGTAAGGCTATTTCTGCTTACAAGTTTAAGAAAAAGGTATGCTACTGCTGCCTGCTGGTGTGTTGCCGAAAATAAATGATGGCAGCCAGAGAGACTAATTGCTCTAATTAATTTCTTATTTTAATATAATGCTGTTATTTTCCATTGTAGATGATGTGAACTCAACATGAATGACCTGGGGTGCGTTTCCCAAAACCATCGTTAGCCAACTAAGGTCGCAAGTTCCGTCGTTACAAACATAGTTTGTTGTTTTGCCGTTTCCCAAATCCGACGCTCCAACGAACATTCGCAAACTGCATCGCAAACTTGAGCACTCGCAACTACACCTCTGCAGCTGTAGTTAGAAACAAAGTTCCTGGCTGTGTTCTATTCCCACTTATCCCCCCTATGCCCTATTCATTTAGAACACTCTAACATTCAAAGTTGGAATTATGAAAAATAATAAAGCATTAAGGTCATCTCTCTTAGGTGTCATTTGCTTGATAACTATTTTTACAGTTCAGTTTTAGCGATCTTCATATTTACATTTGTGCTCCCTTCACAGTGCACTTTGAAAACATTGATGTCATTTTGAACACAGTCTCATGACGAAAGCTATAGGTGAACTATTATTTAAAAGTGGAATTTATGTTACGTCTCCAAAGCTTGTGAAAACAAAAAGTATCCGTTAATTCTTTTAATTTATAGTAGGTTACTTATTAAGTATCTACTGTATATGACATGGGCCTGCTGGTTAGAGCCTTCTGCTGTGGTTTACAAGTGTCAAATTGTAAAAGTAGACTTTTAAAAAATAAATAAATAAATGAACAATATCCTTAATAATAATAATAATAATAATAATAATAATAATAATAATAATTAATAATATTATTAAAGTATTTTTTTCATTTCTAATACATAATAATAATTAAATTTCATTTCTTGATAAATCGCCTCATTATTTATTAATTTATATGATTTATATATGATATTAGTATACGTGTTAGCTTTTGTAAGTGATTTTATGTTTTAGAATATGTTATGTCATTCTCAGTAATATTAGTAAAGCAAACACAGGCCCTATGTGTGCCATATATATTCAATTAATATGGAAAGTGAGTGCATGTTTTTACCAAATCTATTATTGGATTTTATTTTAAATGCATATGTGTGTAAAACAATATAATTTCCACAAAGAAATGATTGGGTTCTTCTCTAAAGAAGTAGTTCCTCCGCCCCGTTTAGAGCGTCATTATGTGCTATTTACGTTATAACTAACGTTGTTCAAGCGATAGATCTGCGACAGAGAAACTATGGGTTTTGGGAAACATTTGTCACTACATAGTTATTTTCCTAAACGATGCATCGTACCACGATAGTTCAGCTGCGAGTTACGTTGTTTGAGAAACGCAGACTGGTTCAATATTTTCCAAGTACAAGTTCAGTCAAAATCGCCCATCTCTACTACGCTGCCAACAATATTTGTTTTGTTTTTAGTCCAAATATCTAAATTCTTAAATCATGAAGCATTTTCCAGACTAGCATAAAATATTTTGTCTTTTAAAGTCTAAATTTGCCCTAATTGGCTTATAATTTAGTTTGTTTTAAAGAAAACCGTACTTAATTTCGACTTATTTCTAAAAACAAAACCATATTTGTTCTTTACTTTTCTAGAAAATGCTTCTTGATTTAAGAATTGTGGGAAAGTTAGACTAAAAACAAGTCAAAAGTATCAAGAAGGGTGTTTTTGCAGTGTATGGATGTACAGTTGAACTGAGAATTATTAGCCCCCTGTATAGTTTTGTCCTGTTTGTGTTTATCGAGAAGATTTTTTTTCACCTTTATTTTTATGCCAAGAACAAATTACATTATATATACAGAAAATTATATTTTTTTATACATATAAAACCCACTTTAACAAACCCTAAATACACTGCCTAAAGAACGATAAAAAAAATAAAAATAAATAAAAAATGTTTAAAAAAAATGAAGGAAAAGTAATTATAAAAAATATATATAAAAAAGGACTGCCAGATCTTTTTAAAATGAAATTTTTTTAAAAAATAAATAAATACATAAATAAATACATAAATAAATAAAATAATAATAAATAAATACATACATAAATACATAAATAAATAAAATTATAATAAATAAATAAATTAATAAATAAGTAAATAAATACATAAATAAATAAAATAATAATAAATACATATGTATATAAAGTGACAACAGCAATGGGTGATATGATCAGGAATAAGGCTGTGCTATCTGTCAGTGGTCAGCCTGAAAGTGAGCAAATCCAGCGTTTAGTAGTGGACGGCAGAGTCCGTCACATGCTCCTAATGGGATTACAGCAGACAGGATTGTGCACGTTTTGCCCTGAATGAAGTCAAGGCCTCAGTGAATGTGTGAGAGGGAAGCTTAGAAAATAAGATTATCTTGTAAGACCTCTTTTCTCTCTGCCAACTCCGATTTCACTTCCACACTCACCTGACCAGCTCCGCCACGCTAGAAACCCACGCTGTCTGCGATTGGAAAGAAAGATGTCATGCCCGTTATTCCTCTGTGTTCATGTGTGTGGTTGTGTTGGGCTAGCGTGGTAATGTAAACCTATCGACCTCGGTGTTTGGTGTCTGCTTTCCTCTGCCACAGGTTTCCCACACACTGAGAGAGAGAGAGTGGCCGAGCATTGTTATGTGGTTGCTATGATGTTGTTAGTGGGTATTTTTAGCACTCTGTTGTTGCTGTTAAGGGTTGTATTTGTGTTCTGATGTGAAACGTTACACTACAAAAATAGTATTACTTACTTAAAAGGCACCTATAATGCAAAAATCACTTTTATAAAAGGTTTAAACACAGTTGTGTGGCAACAGTGTGTGAATATAGCCAGCTTCTAATGGTCAAAATGCACAAATTAATTTTTTTTTAATCACACTTGATATAAACAGTCTGCAGAAACACCTTGATTGACATTCTCCCTTTGTAGGTGTCATCAAAGATGGAAAGCCCCGCCCATTAGTGACCATCTCTCCCTCATTAGCATAGGACGTTAGTCTTGTTTGTGAATCTGCCACTACACTGACACACAGGCATTTGTAGCTCCGCCCTCTTTTGAAAAGAGCACTGTCTCATTTGAATTTATAGCGACAGTCAGCAAAATGGCACAATAAGGACCAAGAATGGGCAGTTTTTAATGAGTTATAAAAGATGATTTGTGGGATGTTTTGAGCTGAAACTTTACATACAGAATCTAGAGACATAAAAAACTTATTTTACTTTCTTCTAAAAACAACAAACTATCAACACACACACACACGGCCACACTGCAATTGGTAACTTTTTGATTTAGTGGCTAATTCGTATAAATTTGTCTGATCTCATTTGTTCATTTTAGTACCATTTGCTCATCCCCCAATGATGGTTGGGTTTAGGGGTGGGTTTTGGTGTTATGCCTCCTTTAAAAATAAAAAAAAAGACATTTTTGTATGACTTGTACGAACTCTTAAACAGACAAAACATAAAATAGTAACATTTTTTTTCGTTAGATCAGGCTGGAATTAACACACTTTTTTTTAGACCAACACAAAGGGGTGCACAAATGCTTTTGCTATTTCAAGAGTTCGCCCTTAGCTTATGATTGATTATGGAGCGTGTTTGAGAGAGCCCTGAACTCGTGAGATCATCGAGCCCGGGGCTCCCCCCGTTGCAGGGTGAGAGGAGAGTCCGAGTTCAGGTAGGTATCGAGAACTCCCCTGCTTGATGATGTTGGAAGTAGATTATATTGCTATGAAGAGTCTTTGCTGTCAATTTAGATTTGTCGATTTACTTATGTTACATGTTTTTGGTCTGTGGGAGGAAACCGGAGAGCCCGGTGAAAACCCACGCAAACACGAGGAGAACATGCAAACTCCGCACAGAAACGCTGACCTGGCCAGGAAATGTCTGAGCTGGTGACATTCTTGCTGTGTGGCCGTGGTGCTAACCACTAGGCCTCCGTGCTGCCCTGACAAGGAAATGGGAGGAATAGGGGTGGAAGGGGGATTCTTCAAGACGAAGATGGCTGAAGTAAGATACTCTGGTTATTTATAGTGGTTAAGGAATCATCAGATTGGTAAATCAGTGTTAGCTAATGTGGACCAGGTGCTGTCAATCATAAGTCCGTGCTCTTCTCGAAATTAGTTTATAAATAAACTTCTCTTAAACAAATTGGGACAAGACATGAAAGTGATACCTACGCAGGGCTTAACTAGCAAAAACAAACTTGCACTGGGTCTATAATAGGACCCATATAGGTTTATAGTAAGTCTACACCTAATATAATAGTAGAGGAAACAATCGTGTACTGGACTTAAAATAAAAGGTAAATACACACTTAAGGGTTGTTTCAGAGGAAGACTTATAGATTGTACACTGAAGTCAGAATTATTAGCCCCCCTGTAAATTTTTCCACCAATTTCTGTTTAATGTAAACATCATAATAGTTTTAATAACTAATTAACTAATAACTGAATTCTTTTATCTTTGCCGTGATGACAGCACATAATATTTGACTGGATATTTTTCAAGAGACTAGTATTCAGCTTAATGTAACATTTAAAGGCTTAACTAGGTTAACTAGGCAAATGATTGTATAGCACGGGTTTGTTCTGTAGACAATCGAAAACAAGGGGGAATAGTAATATTAACCTTAAAATATTTTTTAAATAAATTAAAAACAGCTTTTATTCTAGCCAAAATAAAACAAATAAAACTTTCTCCAGAACTTACTGTGAAAATGTCCTTGCTCTGTTAAACATCATTTGTCAAATATTTGAAAAAGACAAAAAGGGCTAATTATTTTGACTTCAACTGTACCTAGTTTTTACACATTTAATGTAATGATTATAAGTACACAAGGACAGTAATATGCACATGTGGAGCAGGACTGTGAAAGAAAGTGCAGTGGGAGAGAATGAGAGACGGTGTGCTGTTAGTTGTCACTCATCTATTGTACCTGACTGTTGTTTTCACTCAGGTTCTGCTTCACTGGTCTCCTATTCTCATGGGAATATGAGCCATAGCAACACAGTCTCTGTTTATAACTGCAGATACACAGCATCATCCTGTCACTGCATAACCACATCACATCTAGCAGTCAAAAATCTCTTCAAACTTCAACTACACAATTCGCGATCTCCAGAAATGTATATAGGGCTAGGTATTCAGAATGAGCCTATGATGATTCATGAACC